ATCACTGTTGCTCAGGTTGTGAAAGCTGACTCCGAGATGTTCCTCATGATGTCCAAGGAGATAAAGAACGTGAAGGCCAGCACGACCGGGGAGATGGAAGCGGACACCTTCATGGAGCGCTTCCGCTCCGATCCCCGCATCACCATGCACTTGCTGCCACTCCCGAAGGCTCTGAGCGCCTTGGCTTCCGAGGCCGTCGACAGTGCACATGCCGGGACCCCGAGCCCTAAGAAGAAGACTAGACGAGAAAGGAAGACTACGTTGGCGGGTCCCGTCAAAGTGGAGAACATGCCGAAGGAGCTCAAGGAGTGCAAATTCTACACGGATCACTCTGGGCGCCGACTTTGCTGGACTCACAACACCGGGACCTGCAATGCTGAGACCGATGGAGGAAATCCACCGGCTTGCAAGCGCGGAGTGCACGCATGCATGGGGTGCCGTAAGCCAGGACATGGCTGGGCCTCTTGTTGGTTCAACAAAGCCAACAAAGGGAAAGGCGGTAAAGGCAAGGGGTCTGGCAAAGCAGACTCCAGCAACAAGGAGTGACTAGCCGAAGCCACTCCGAGGAGCCGTTCTCCGAAGAGAGAACACGCTCTTGGTGCCCAGATGAATTCAATCAGCACTGACAAGCCTTGTCTTAGAGAGACTTCAGATCGTGGATCGTGCGAGCCCCAAGATCATGTCTTGTTGAGCTCCCAGGTGCGTGATACGCCGGCTTTGCAGCCTCGTGACTCTTCCGATGGCTCGGCCAGCTCCGCCATCAAAGATCCTGCCAACACCAGTGACAAACAATCTTCTTTTGAGTTTTCTTTCAAGCCACCCGATGGGTCATCCACGGTGGTTGACCATCCTGCAGAACGCCTCGCAAGAACTTGTTTGCAGCAAGGTTCGGGTGAGGAATCCATGTGGGCGAAACTCGCGGAGCTTTTGCCCAGCGAGGAATCGTCGCGCACAGTCGTCAAAGACTCCAATGAGAAGTGTTTTATCACCGGCGCCTACTCACGTGGAGGTGTCGGGCTCCGGAGCAATTGCAAACGTTTCCCAGACAGCACCCGCCTTCTTGTATGTTTGGCGAAAGTCGCTTTCCCTGGCTTGTGCTTCAGCTCTGTGGGCTTGTTTCAGAACATGCGGACTGCTCCGCATAAGGACAATAACAATAGGCCCGGCTCCTTGAATGGTGTGTGTGCTCTGAGTTCCTTCGAAGGCGGGGAGATCAAACTAAACACAGCCGCCGGCCCTAAGTTATTGTCCCTAAAGGCGGGACCAATCCGTTTCGATCCGTTTTGCGAACATGAAACTGCGCCTTGGACTCAGGGTCTTAGGTTAGTCTTGGTTGCCTTTTCGGTTCATAGCCTGGAGAAGTTGTCGGTGCCCGACTCGCGTTTGCTTCGTTCCTACGGGTTTCCCTTAACTCCTGCAAGCATTCCCGAGGCTATTGGCCCGGGCCCCAGCCCCGGTCCTGAACCTGGCATGTTCCTTGAGCTCTTTGCAGGGTCAGCAGGCCTTAGTCAAGCATTTACACGGCTCGGCTTCCAAGCGATTGCTTTCGACAAAATTTGTCGATCCAGTCATCCCGTGCAGGCCCTTGACTTTACTGATGAGTCCGAATGTCAGGTTGTCTTGCAGATGCTTCAAGATTTCAGCGAATCGGTACAATATGTGCATTTGGCCCCACCGCAAGAAACCTGCCTTGCAGCCAGGAACCTGGATCCGCCTACGACGACCAAGACGGCTCCGCCTGTCCGGTCAATCGACCAACCGATGGGCCTTAGTTCGCTGTCGGATAAACTTTGCAAGCAGGTTCAGGATGCCAATCAGCTTTACGCCTTTTGCAGTGAGGTCTTCCGCTTGTGTTGTGCACTTGGCATTGCTGTTAGTGTGGAGGCCCCAGCATCCTCCCTCTTTTGGCAGCTCCCGGTCGTCAAGGGTGCACTCGATGACCTTCAGGCCCATATCGTTGACTTTCATGAATGCATGCATGGTGGTCCACGTGACCGCAAGCTCCGTTGGGCCTCCTCAGTGCCATGGTTCAAGCCACTCGCTTTGCTCTGCAATCGCATGCATACACACTTGCACTGGTCTGCAGCATCTGCCTCAGGTCATAAGGGCTCCTATCCGAAACTCCTGTGCGCTCGTGTTGCCGAACTTGTTCTTTCACAGGTCGCTCAGGTGCCGGCCCAGCCCTCGCTCTTCGGCCCCGAAAGTGCAATTGTCCGCCTTGCTTACGATAAGCAGCCGCGTCGACACCATGCCTTAGTTAGTGAGTTCGGTTCCTATGATGCTTGGGCCCTGCCTCTCGGGCTCTCTGACTGCCCGAAGCCTCTGCTCAAAGCGTACCCCAAAGGCGCGCGAGTGGTCCGTCGCAAGCTTCTTAGGTGGGGTCAGGTTAGGGCTTGCGAGCTTCCAACTCCTTCGCGGGACATTCTTGAAAAGTGCTTGGACTCGAACTGGAAATGGAGCTTGGATACACATATTCCCCCTGGGGAATCCGATCAACCACTCTGCAAAGTTTGCGGTTTCTTGAATGATTCAACCTTCGAAGATTCTTGCGAAGTCATTTGGATAGGCATTCCCCGTACCCCCGAGGACTTCGTGCGGCAGGCAGTTTCAGCCGGCCACCCTAGGAGGATCCTCGAGAACAACATGGATGATCGCACGAAGCTGCTCGTTGACAACTTGCTGAGTGGTCGTGTGGCCCAAGGAGACTTAGGTGCATCCAAAGTCGCCGAGTGGACCGAACTTTCTAAGGAGCTTGAGCCTCTCGAAGAAGCCCAAGCAAAGTCCCTGGACCCCTCGGTCGGAAAAATCCTTCAAGGAAAGAGGACTTGTCTTTTGGAGCGGCTGCTCTCGGACTCAGCCTTCCCTGACGAAAGACTTGTCCCTGACTTGAGAAGGGGTTTTCCTTTGACGGGGTGGATGCCTAACACGGGTTTGTTCGTTCCTGATCCCCGGCCCCCGAAGACCAGTCTTGAAAAACAGCTGAAATCCGCCTCGGCCAGGAACTCAGCTACTGTGGCGAGAGTGTCTTCCCAGCCCGTGGATGCCATAGCCGAGCAAACTTGGAAGGAGACGCTCGAGGAAGCTTCGAAGGGATGGCTGTTCGAGGACCCCGATCCCGACTTGTCATCCGTGCTTGTAGCTCGCAGGTTCGGTATCGTACAAGGTGCCAAGACTAGGGTGATCGATGACGGGAAGGCAGCGGGCATCAACCAAACGGTTGGTTTGCCCGAGCGCTTCAGACTGCATAGCATCGATTACATATCTGCCTTCCTCGTTTGGGCCATGCTCGACCCTCGAGCCAAAGGCGTGCAGGTATCCGGCAAGACGATTGATTTGAAGTACGCTTACAAACAATATGCCGTGTGCCCGAGTGACCGAAACATCTTCAGAATTGTGACGCTCGACCCAACGACGGGTCGGGCGAAGTTCTATGGAGCAGCGGCACTCCCCTTTGGAACGACAGGGTCGGTAGCCGGGTTCCTAAGAACCTCGGCTGCCACTTGGCATGTAGGAGCCTCGTTGCTGGGCCTGGCTTGGTGCAATTATTTTGATGATTTCCCAATTTTCAGCTTGGATGATAATTGCCAGTGTACCGAGTCTTGTGCAGAGAGCTTGCTTGACGCGTTGGGAGTCACCTTCGCGAGAGAGGGGCGCAAAGCAACAAAATTCTCTAAGGAGTGCCGGGCACTCGGCTTGATCATCGACTTGAGCCAGTTTGGGGAAGGCATAGTGCTCATCAAACACACCCCTGAGAGAATCCAGGAGCTGAGGCAAACCATTTCTGTGATCCTTGACCGAGGCACCCTTGAGTCATCGGAGGCCGAAGCGCTCCGAGGAAGATTGCATTGGTTCAGCTCCTTTCTCTTTGGCCGACGCTCCAGCCAAGCTTTGGGGGTTCTAGGTCTTCGGGTTAAAGGTTTAGATGGAGGCAGGAAGCTTAGCAGTGACCTTCGTGATGCTCTCACGTACCTTCGTGATCGAGCTCTGGAGTCGCCTCCTGTGCAGCTTTCGCCATCAATCAAAGAAACCTTTTACATTTTCACTGACGGAAGCTTGGAAGGAGATGTGGCCGGTGTGGGCGGCATTCTGTACGACCCACTCGGCGAACCTCTTTCTTTCTTCTCAGGAAAGCTTTCAGCAGACACTGTGCGGAAGCTCCGTGAAGCATCCGAGCACCCCATCTACGAAGTAGAGCTTCTTGCGATCTGGGCTGCCTTTCAGCTTTGGATGCAGCGGCTTAAGGATCGCTTCGTGGTAGTGTACTTGGACAACGAAGCGGCAAAAGGTGCATTGGTGTCCGGAAAGTCCTCGACACTTCCCGGCAAAGCCATTGTTTCAGCTGTCTTAGATCTTGAGGACGATGCTCGGTTGCGGCCTTGGTACGGCCGTGTTCCGACCAGCTCCAACCCTGCAGATGATCCTAGCAGAGGCGTCTTCGGTGAACTCCTGAGGGCAGGTGTGCAAAGGCTGCAAGCTCCGAAAGCTTGGCCGGTCTGACGCATCCTTCTTGTCGATTGCTCGCTTTCGTATGGGGTGTGGCAGGGCGAGCAACAAGGTGTGATCGACATACGACTCTCTGCACCCCTTTGCCCTTTTGGAGAGAAAACGAAGGCGCTGTCCGAGGTTTGCATTCCTTCGCATGTGAGACATTGTTGTCAGTACATGAATCATGTCACTACACGCGGTCAACACTCAGGGAAATAAAGTACCGGTCCCGGAGGGACGCAGCTCTTATTTTCCTAGTGTTGATGAATTTTCCTTTTGGCAAAATTCAAGCGTGTTTTTCCCTCTTTGCGATTTTGTGTACTGCATACATGCCTTTACATGTCAGTGCATTGCACGCGAACAGTGTTATCCCTCTCCATCCGGTTGCCCCCTTTGGGCCCGAGATGGGAGGGATGTGGAGGTAGAAACTTTCTCTCTGGTCCATGAATTTTTGG